TATTATTATTATTTTTCTCCTCTTACCAGCGCGTCTGGCTATACAGTGCCATCTGAGTGCCGAAGAGGTGGTCGAGCAACGACAAAAGTTTTCTGCTATGAGGCAGCTGCCATTGAGAGAACTTTCCGAGGCGAAGGTCCTGTTCAATGCCCAGCCGTCGGCGCACAGCCAAGGTGCCTGGACATTCTGGAAGCAGATGGTGCAAGGTTTCCTGCGGGCCGATTGGCGTGCTTGTGGAGGCTGGCTGATCCTGTGGCAGCAGTGATCGCCTCCTGGCACTGCTGTTTCGATGCCGTGTGGCGTCTGGGTTGTGTGCGCGGCGACTTCTGTGCTGTGCGGTGCTTCTCCATGTGGGGAAAACCATGTTACAGAAACCACATTTGAGCTCGGGAAGCGGTGGGGGATGTTCCGGACGGAATGACCGACAGTGACTGACGAGACCCGAGAATCCCGTCAATGTGGAATCACAGTGCGGACATTTCTCCTTCCGACGGCGTGTGAGGGTCCGTCTCCTTACTGGAGAGACGTCTTCCTCCCTCGCCGACGGGGGAACAGTGTCCGTCCCCGGTGCAGTCGGATCGTTGTTAGAGAGCATATATGCAGACTGTTCCGGTGAGATGTTGCAGAAACGGCATTGGTTTGTGCAATCTCTCACAGCCCAGTATAGTCGGCCCCAGAGCTCAGATCCCCCGCACCTTGCCCTTGCGAGGTGAACCAGTTCCTGACGGTGTAGAACTTCCTGAGTGATCAGGTCCTTACCGCTGAGATCTGATGGCCTTGTGCCGCAAAGCAAGTAGCGATGAGTGTCTTGACGAATGGTACTACGCCACTTGTTGGTGAGCTGGGTAGTAAAACATGTCAGCAGATCCGTGTGCCATAAAGGTGCTATTCCTTGCTCCGTGTATTGTCCACTTTCCATAGTCTGCGTCGCATACTGATCCGCAAGCTCGGTAGCATGTACTCCGCAATGTCCGCAACAAAACTGCAGGTGCACGGACCAGCCAGCACGCGTCAGTGACAAGAGACGCTGCCAGATCTGATCCTCCGTCCAGTCTGTCTGACTGAGCGGGCCCTTGTTTAGAGCCGCTAGAAGAGACTGACTGTCCGTAACCACAAGCAGGGTTTTACGCCTGTGGCGGATACGAGGAATCATCAGCCTCTCTAGGGCTAGAAGCAGCGCACGGGATTCCGTCCTGTAGCTGCATGGGCGTGCACCGCAGTTTATGCTGGCCTTTTCTATTATCTCCGATGAGTTGAGGGATGAAAGCAGTATTCCAACCCCTGCTGACTTGGGAACGTCGACACCGCCATCGGTCGCAAGTATCCACGAACGATGGCTGTGCAGCGCTAAAGCCTCTTCGCTGACCCTGCGCTTTTCCCTTATCAGCTCCTCTTCGTTATTGAGTGGTCCATCGGAAGTTCCACACCGATGATGACCCGGTGAGCGGAGGCCGCAAACCAGGGAGGAATGGAGCTGCGAAAGAACCGCTCTTCGCGTGGTGAGCTCTCGGAGATGCCATAGTCCTTTGTGTATGCGTCTACGAAGGCATATAGCTCGTCCCGAGGTAATGGCGAGATGCGGAAACCGGCGCGAGGCGGTGGCTCAGGCGGGGGTCTCCGCATCCAGTCCGTCTGACATGCGCGTGTGTTCTCAAATATTGAGAGCCGCGCGCGCAGGCAAAGGACGCGGAGCGGCGGCATATTAGCCTCCAGTAGCGCGGATTCCGGGTCGACAGTGCTCGGAACTCCGCTGACAATGCGTGCCAGAGTTGCGTACGTCTTTTGCATCTCATTCTTCGCTGAATCCGTCGCTACTGCCCATATGCGCTCGCTGCCATAGCGCAATTTGGAAGCACCGTATCCAATGACGAACGTGCGTAGGTCATGTGGAGATGGTCCCGCCTCTTTGTGCGCTATGCAACGTAGCTGCGATATCCGTTGCGAAGTGGCAGCGCATTGCTTGGTGGCCGCCACATTTAGCGTCAGTTGTGGATCGAGATCCATGCCGAGAAGCTTCGTAGTTCGCGATGCCCCCATGGTCATGACTGGGGTTTGGCATCCAGCCACTACCAGGGGCCACTTTCCTTCACGATCATAATCTGACTCCGTGTGCGTGGATAGTGTGAACCAAGCAGCTTCACACTTTGACGGGTTGTTGGCCAGGCCATTTTCCTGACTCCACGCATGCAGCTTTTTAAGAACCATGTTGGCAGTGGGAATGGCGTCTTCCCGGGACTGCCCCTTGACGATAATAGAGGGGTCGTCCGCATACATGTCTGCTGTGACACCCGCAAAGCTGTTCAGCAGATCGAGAAGTGGGTGTACGTAAAGGGAGAACAAATACGGTCCCAGCACGGACCCCTGAGGAGCTCCTCGCAGCATGGGACGCCGATCGCTGTGTCTGTGGCCAACTCGTGTCTTCGCGTAGCGACCACATAGAAAGTTTCTAAGCCACCTTCTACAATTCACCCCCGGAATATTAGCCAGCAAGCTACTGAGGACTCGATGATCTATGGAGTCAAAAGCCTTACTGAAATCAACCAGCACCAGCAGGGTCCGATGGGGTCTGTAGTGGAGTTGATTGCCAATACCGCACTTCTTGGGAAGGCTCACTTGGAAATAGTGATTTCAATTATGCTCCACTTCGTGTATCAGGTGTGCCAGCTGCATCGTCGTAGTACGCACACTACGATATGCATACTGGTGGGGGTGCGGCGTCCACACCCAAAGCAATCTCTTCAGTACCATTTTCTCAGCAACCTTACTCACAATGGAAGTAAGGCTGATGGGTCGATAGGACTCAAGCGCTTCCGGCGACTTACCGGGTTTTAAGAGTGGAACGATGGTAGCGCGTCTCCACTCAACCGGAATCGTACCGGTCGTCCAACTGTGGTTAATGCAACGAAGAAGGAATCGGAGGCCCTTTGACGAAATATGTCGCAGTACCTCACTGTAGACTTCGTCCGGTCCGGGGGCCTTGCCATACGGCGTATTACGTAGCGCAGCAAGCAGTTCCGTACGATTAAAAGGTGCATCAAGAGGGGAGTGAAGATGAGCAACTAAACCAGATGTGGTGGCAGCTTCGTTTCTATCCTGCGGCTCAGAACTAGATGAGAGTGAAGAACCTGAAGTAAATGTAGCGGCAGACTCGTTGTTGTTCTGCGGCTCGGAGCTAGAAGAAGTAGAAGAAAATGAAGTAAATGAGGCAGCAGACTCGCTGTTGTTCTGCTGCCCAAAAGAAGAGAAGCATTAATGTTCAAAGATGCACTCTGTCTGTTGATGCCTTTGGAAAACCTAACTGCCTTGTGAGAGGGGTGAAATGGAAGAAAGATGCGATTAAGAGCATTCGCTGCTCTCCTTGCTGTTTTATAAGTGTGTTGACCATCTCCCAATAAAATTGATGTGGGAGATGGAAGTGATGCCTTTTTTCGTCCGGAAATGTATTTCCATGCGAGTGGCTCGCCTGGATTTAACTTGCTGATGCGGCGTAGATACGTGTTGCGCAAGCGCTCTCGGAGTAGGAGGAAGAATTGACTCCTTGTCCGTTGCATTTCTGCCCCACGGTTGGGCGTCGGTAACTGTAGATAGCGGGCCTTGCTGTCGGTAGCAATCCGCTCTGCCTCCATGAGAGTTTCGTCCCAAAGCCTGGGACCGTCCTTGTGCATGCCGCGGGGGCAATGCCGTCGATACGAGGTTATAAGTGCTCTCGTGAAAGCTTTAATGCCGGTGGACTGCTTTTTATAGTCGTATGCCGGAAGTTGTGCGTCGAAGTCCTTGATGAATAAATCCCACTTGCACTTCCCCCAACTGTAGAAAAACTTAGGTGCCGAAGGTATGGTATCCTTAAATGCCTGATGCAGCGTAAATGTCAGCATATAATGATCACTAAGCGGCGACACGGAAGCTGACCAATCCGACACAGTCAAATGCTTTGACCATGTCAGATCGACACAGGATCGTTCTCTTGTGCCACGGGCATACGTGATCTCACCAGGGGTGTTAACCAAGGTGAGTCCCGCATCCGTGCACAGTTCTAAAAATTCTGCAGCAACCTCGCTTGGAGAAGTCTCCAAGAATGGCTCCCACTGTGGGTGATGCGTGTTGAAATCCCCGCACAGCAGGAACGGCGACGAGGCTGGAAGGCAGTTTACTAACCGCCTGAAGGATTGCGTTACTTGCGGTGGTGGTCTCATATAGGCACTCGCGACAATAAGATCACGGTTCTGGTCCAGAGCAACCTGGACCACCACCACTTCAAGGCTGGTGTCATGCTGGGGGATGGTGGGAGGTATACGCTTGGAGCGGAGAGTTTTCCGCACCAGCACCGCCACACCGCCTCCCTTGCCGATGCGCGACTGTGCATAGAGCACATAATCTCCAGTGTGCATGCTGGCGATCTGCTCTGACGACTTCCAAGTCTCCTGAAAGGCTATTATGTCTGCTCCTTGCGCCATTAATGTTGCGGGTTTAGCCGCCGTGAGGCAAAAAACATTCATCTGGAGTACTGCTATGGGGCCTGGGTTCTGCTCAATGTCGCCGCTTAGCAGTAGCTTTTGTCGTTGCGCGTCGCATACGGCACGCAAACGGTATGTGTAGCGCTGATAAGCGCCGATGGAATTCAGCAGCGGATAGAAATACCTCTCCGCGCGCAGCGGATGGGCAGCAGGCGCTTAGCTTCCTCTCTCGCAAAGAGTACTAGACCCTGGCACCACGTTGAGGTGGCCGGCTGAGCCAAGGTTCTTGTTCTTTCGTATCTGTGTTTTTTGTCTTGGCAGGGTGATTTTCTTACTGCGGTTTTTTCACTTATTTGTTTACGTGGCTTGATAATCCTTTTTGGGCGTGATGGTAACTGTGGCCACTTGTGGCTTCCACATTTTTTTGTCTTTTTCTTGGTGGTGCATAATGAGCGGCATTGTTTTCTTATTTGCTTCTTTTTTGCTGCTGGTGTGCTGAACCCACCTCTTTCATCCTTTTCGAACAAAGGGGTGTACTTTTTAGGGATGGGGCGGGGTTTTGGCAGGGGATCGAGGGTCGCGATTGTGACTCATGCGCAATTGAAAACTGCGGGCAAAAAGACTCCACGTGGCCTTCGTGGGTCGAGACAGAAGAAGCGCAGGCGTTTTCATCAGAAACATGACGAGCAGAGGAAGTTAGAAGAATCTCTGGGAATGAAACCGACAAATACTTCCAAGAGCGAGAAGCCTTTGTCCCAGCAGGTGGCAAGTATCCAATTTCCCCATGTTGTGAATAAACGACAAAAGGGCTTCAGGCAGCTAAGGCGACAGATCGTGGATAAAGTAAAGGACCTAAGGCGTAGGCACGCAGAGAAGAAAAAGAAGCAAGCAATGAAGAGTACCAATTTATCTACGCATTAACTGAGTTAAACTATTTAAGCATAAAATTAAGGATTTTTTGTGGATTTATAAAGAGTTTTGTTTTTAGCATTGGACGAGAGCATACTGAAGGAACATCAATCTGGATTGCCCCACTTTTTTTTTTGAACTTATTAGAAAAAGTGAAAGAGAAAAGAGAAAGCTACTAATAATAATATTAATCACACGCACAGAAAAAAGCATGCCCCATACTGCTGAACATGGAACGGAAGAAGCCGACATGAAAGCAGAGAAAAGGGAAAAGCTAAGGAAAGGACTTCAGGCCCTATTTGCTGCAAAAAATACTTGTGTACATAAAGATTCTGATGAGGAGAGTGCTGAAGAAGACCCTCTGTCGGTTGGCCAGGGGTCACGGGAATGTCATACGACCCCAGAGGCTGCTCTTACCATTGACACTGAAGGTAAGATTATTGAGATAAACAACGTTCGATTGTTCTCGTTGGATGAAGTGGAGCTAGAAAAGTTTACTGATTGTATTTCACTTTCTCTTCGAAAAAATCTTATACACGAACTCTCTCCTTTTCCGGAGGATCTTGCTGCTCGCCTCGAGGAGTTGGATCTGTTTGACAACAAAATCCGCAAACTGAGGGATTTTTTTTCAACAGTAAGATGCATGGGGGAATCCACTCTGAAGGAAAACGTGACGGGAGCTTTTGGGCATCTTACCAAGTTAGATTTGAGTTACAACCAAATACGGAATATTGGGGGGCTGGAACCTTTGGCATCAACGCTAAGGGAATTGTATTTGGTGGAGAACAAGATAAAGGAAATCAAAAATCTGGATTCACTTTTAAACTTGGAGCTCCTTGAACTGGGGGGTAATAGAATTCGTGAAATTGGACCGGGTTTAGCAAAACTAACAAAACTGAAGCAGCTTTGGCTAGGCAAAAATAAGATTGCATCGATTGGCACATCACTTCAAACATTGGTTTCCTTGGAAATTCTTAGTCTTCAGGCTAATCGTTTGACCAGTGTTGAGCCTGATAATTTTTTGGGTCCGGACGCCAATCCACATCTCCGTGAATTGTATCTCTCCGAAAATGGGTTGAAATGTATTCAAAATTTGGGTCATCTTCCTATGCTGCAGCTTATTGATTTTAGTTTTAATCCCATATCTGTTATAAATGAGGATGTGATAAACCCCCGAAACATGCCCCAACTCATAGAATTCTGGCTCACAGACGGAAAGATAGAAAAATGGGATGAATTGGGTAAACTGAGCGGATTTAAAAACACCTTGAGGACAGTTTATCTTGAGAGAAATCCAATTGAAGAGGATAAAAGATACCGTGATAAGGTATACATGCAACTTCCTTTCTTGGAGCAAATTGATTCTTGGCCAATTGTCAACAAAGGAGACCTGGAGGCCGATCGAAAGAGGAGGGCATAGAGTTTGTCTTGATTTTTTTTTTGTATGTTTCTTTTTTCTCGTTTTATTTTATTTTGGCGTTTTACCCATTCTGTTTTATTGTTGTTGTTTTTTCTTTGGGAGCGTGTAAAAAGAGTGTTCGCGAGACGACAGGCAACCTCAATTCATACATCTTGATGAAAAGAAGGTGTTACTGTGCGATTTATTCCTATTTTGTGCTCCTTTGGTTGACCGCGACTGAAGGTATCAGGGAATCGACAGCGGTAAGGCAATTTTTATTTTTGTTTTTATTTTGGCCGTCCCACCTGCCCCTCTTTTTGATGACCACCGTTCGCGGCGGGGTCTTGTGGCCGGAGGATTTTTAGTTCTGCCACGTCGCAAGTAACAAATATTTCCAGTCCGAATAGAGCGCAGCGTGTCACGATACTGGTCATCCGAATATATATGTATGGAGGAAACAACGAGGATATGGCGAACCCACTGTCTTTCTATTACACCCCCCATCTTCCCGTCCTATCTTATTTATGTGTAAGTTCAGGATCCGGGCAGCAGCCCAGAGAAGTAATACGAGCGTATTTGCATATGGCTTTTTAAGCATACGAGAAAATGTGACCTTGCGATATGTTTTTATATGCGTTGTTATAACTGTTTACTTATATATACTCTTTATTATGCGAATGAATATATGTTCTCTATTTTTCTTCCTAATATCTTGCATGTGACATGATGAACCATCTATATATACAAATAAGAGGGGTGCACCACACACACACACACACACAAAATAATAATAATAATAATAGTAATAATAATAATAATAATAACCAAGGGGAAGAAGCAATGCAACAAGTCCCTCCTGAGATTAAGGCTATGAATGACCAGCTGCAGGTTATTCTTAAGGGTAATCAGGAACTGGGTAGTAAAAAGAGCAAGCTGATCGAGGCTCGCCGACGACTTGGTGCTCAGAAGAGCGAGAATGAGATAGTGCGAGATGAAATAAATAAACTAGAACCGGATTCTAGGGTTTTAAAGCTCATTGGTTCTGCTCTTATTCTCCAGGATCAGAGCGATGCCAAGGCGATTGTAAACAACCGACTTGATTACATTAATGGTGAACTAAAAAGGACAGATGCCTCCATTGCCGAATTGGAGAGGAAGGAGAAAGAGGCCCAACAAAAAGCCGAGGAGTTGTTCCGCAAAATGCAGGCAAAGCATGCACAAATTCAGCAGCGACAACAACAGCAGCAACAACAATAAAAGGCCTTTATGTTCACATGATAACGCATGTGATATGGTTTTTCTTTTTTTTTTCTAAACTGATATTGGCGGGAAAAATTTTTTTATTGCAGTGACTCTACTTTTTAAAAATTTTATTTGAGGCTGAGAGAACGCACATACAGTTTTTTCCCCCATACATATTTCTTTTTGTATAAATGTGCTTATATTATTGATTCCATTTTAGTCAGGTTCATGGAAGGCCAAAAGCACGACTGGAGTAGTGCCCATGCTCAGTTGTGGACTTCTTTCAAAAATTCACAAAAAGGGAATAATTTATGTGAATCAAATACCATTGTTAGTATGGATACAGTGACACCCGTGAGCTCTGTCTTTGAACAAAACCCTACGATTGGGCGTGATTTAACTTCTTCTATTCTAGATGAAGTTAAAACGCGAACTCGTCTTGATGAACCTGTGCTTTCGAACAAGCTGGAGGATCAAATCATTGGGCTTGTCGAAGATGTCAGAACGGATGCTTCCGTTCGTGAGTTATTATCCGCCATTATTCATTTGAAGAATCGTGTAGAAAAAGCGAATAATGAGGCTGTTTATAGACAGGATTCACTTCTGCAAGTGGCTGACGAGACACTTTTTCATTTGAATGGTCAGAAAAATGCTGCCATTGCACCTGAAGAAATGGTTACTGAAGGTACCGGGGCTCTTGGTGTTATAGAGAGTCGTTTTTTTGCCGTACTTATACAAGTCGAAAAATGTAAAAAAGCGATAATGGCACTTGCGGAGAAAAACGGTTTGAACAAAACTCTTTCTGGCAACAGTTCAATGAGAGAAGTTCTGGAATTCTTAACTTCCTCTAAAATGCCTGTATCAGAAGGTGCTGAATTTGATAACGAAGAGAACGCGATGCTTCACCAGGTAATGGATATACTTGGATCTCCATCGGGAACCGGCTTGGATCAAGCTCCTGATTTGGCATTAAAGGTTATGAAGGAGTTGGAGTTCCTTAGAGAAGAGAATCACACAAATTCTCTTCTTATTCTTCAGTATGAAAGGACGGTGATGGCCAAGTTTGCCTCATGTGGTGTCGTTTCCCCTCCCACTGTAGAGCAAGAAAGAGCGGCTTTGTTTTCTGAGAGTGAAGTATTGTACCCGCATTCTGACGACCAATGGATTAAGGATCATTTGAGAAGTTTGGTTTCGGTTATGACAGAAGTGAATAAAAATTACCAATTAGACGTGGTTCCCAATTGGCTTCTGGGGGGACCTCAAGAAGCATCAGCGGAAGCGTTTTTGAATTACATGCGTACTTCTATAGGGGGCGCCAGAGAGTTGTTAATCCTTTTGGCAAGAGATCTAATGGAGGCGAAACACTCCCTTCTTGAAGTGCCACAAAATGAGGAGACGTTGAATATGATGATGAGAATTGTTAGTTGTTTACCGGAAGGCGATCAAATTAAAATTAGGGAAATGAAAAGTGATTTGGACAGCTTGGCTGATTATGTGGAGGATGCGGTGAAGTCACTTGTCATGGCCTCAAGTGTCCAAGAACATATGTATTCACAGGTGAAAACATTGATTTCCCAGATTGCATATTTAAAGGATATTGCGGATGGAAGGGGCCACAACGCCCTTGATCAAGCTACCTTATCGTCAATTGTGGGCGCAGCAGAGGATTTGAGGGTGTGGGTAACGGAGAGATATGGGGTTGATCGAAGACCAGAAGATGCCATTATTCAAGAAAGCCTACATGAGCTTGCACAACTAGTACCGACAGGTCTAGCTCCTAGTTGTACTGTGGGTGAAGTTCGAATTGATCCTCCCGTGAACAATATTCTGGATATGGTACGCCTACTGAAGAGCCGAATTGAGCGGTGGATTCAGGAACAACAAAAGCAGCAGCTTTCTGGGGCACGCAGTCGTTTGGGAAAAGCTCGAGTGGAAGAGATTGTAAGAGAGCGTAGTAAAAAGCTTGTTAGGATTACCAAAGAGATACTTTTGAGTTCAGGGAATTCAAGTGAAACGGAAGATATACTTGGTGCACTCTCAGCTGAATTGATGGACGGCCCCACGACTGCTGTTAATGGTGGTAATGACGGAAGTAATAATAATAGTAATAATAATACAGGAGGCGAAATGGTTTCTGTTGCCACCGTTTTCGATGATCTTGAGGAGAGGTTGAAACTTGTTAAGGTTCGTCATCATCGACTATTTCAGTCTTGTGCGGCCGATAAAGTTCGCCTTGAGAACTTGATTCAGTCTAGTAACGCCCATAATAAACGTTTCTCGCGTATTTGTACTTCCGTAGGGGCTATTTGCCGCACGGTGGGTCTTGAGCAAATTGGCAGTCGACTTGAACGGGACTCCAAGGCAGAAACGGTGTCATCTTCGTCTCAACTTGTACTCCGTCCAGAGCAGAGAAGGGAAAGCGTCGTCCAACCTGTCAATGACGCTGAAATCATTGAGGCGTTAAGGCTCATAGAAGAGCGCCTGGTAAAGAACGAGGCAATTGTGGATAGCGCACAACAAAAATCCGAGTTGCTCCGTTTGAAGGAAGAGGAAAAACATTGGCAGGAAGAAACGGGCACATTTCGTCAGGCAATGCAAATGATTCTGGTGCGGTTGGCGGAGGCGGGAAGGCGCATTAAGTGTACCCTTTTCATGCTTGGGACCGATGAATCTGCTGAGGATGAGGTGGTGGAAAGCGTTATTCGTCAGCAACAGCGAAGCTTAGAAGAGGAAGGAGCGGAGAACAATTACGACAGCGCAGGACAACAACGGCAGCATGAGGTTAGTGAGGAGTCACTGGCAGTGTTGCTGCAGAAATTTGGTCGCTGGGCAACGCGATTACAGGAGGCAACGGAGGATCACTTGTACACACAACAAAAGTTGAATAAGTATTTTGCCGATGTACATCGTCTTTTCTGCCCAACCGGGGACGCTGCGGTTGCACAACAAAATACTACAGATGAGAATCTTATAGATATCGATACCACGCTGATGCATTTCGCCGATGGTATTTTGCCAGTAATTGATCGGGCCCTCGCTGATGCAGAAGCTTCTTCAAACAAAAACGATGCCGGCGGGAAAGGAGCAGGATGCGAGGATGGGGTACGCTCCAAGGCAATTTCTATATTGTTGCAAGATGCCCCTCAAAATCGTGTGTCGCATATGGACCACCGATTGGTTCGTCTGTACGAGTTTGTGGGGAAACTACGTACAATCGTGGATGGGCTGTTGAGTGTGCGATATTTATCGATTCCATTGTCAAGCCGTCGACGCGGTGGTAATGCGGCGGATGAGTTGATATTTGAAGACGCATGGGGTGATAGCTACGTTGAGTTGGATGTCGGTAAAATGAAATGCGCTACCACAACCGATAAAGGGGACACTGATGCGCTCAATATGAGTGACGATATGCTTTTCCGCACGGTGGAGTCCAACATCCGAAGTGTCCACCAGGCACTCAGCAAGTTCAGCACCAACTACAAACTTGCGGTAATATTGGTGCAGAAGGATACAGATATGATGCAGCAGTTTATCGCATCTATGTTGGAGCCTTATGTGGAACTTGACTTGGAACGTGTCTTTAGGCAAGACCCTGTTGTATTGAAGGAAATGTTTGCGTTGCTTAACGAGCGTACGGCGCGACAGCGTGGCTGCTACTTCTTTAATCGTGTTGGGGGTGAAGGACCTTGTTTATGGGCGACTGCTTTGGAACAGCTCAGTCTGGGTTTTCTCGGGATTATCGAGAAGTTGCGAAAGCGTACACAGGTAGCAATGGAATTACGGGATATCGTTGATGACGCTGTGGATTTTTGCGCCATGTATGTTAATTGGGTCGAATTGAACGGGGAGGCCATCCTATCGTTGTGCCCTCTGCCCCAGGAAGTGGTAGAGGCATGCGTGCGTGAAGACAATGATGCGGAAGTGGAAGGCCATCTGGGACAATTAAAGCAACAACGAGGTGAAAAGAAGTTACCAAAGCCACCGTTGCCGCCAAACCATCCCCGGTCGAAGGTTTCGCACTTTGTTGAGGATACAATTATTCTTAGGGTTATTGCCCACATGTTTCAAGTTGCCCAGACTGCCAGCAAGAATAAAGAAGGGCAAGGCGACAATGATAGCGGGAAAATGGCTGTTGGAAATAGTGACGGTATTGACGCCACGGATGAAAAAACACAAAAGCAAAAACGAAAACAAAATCAACAAGAAGAAGAAATCCAACAGTTAGAGGAACAATTGCAGTTGTTGCGGGAATCGGCGGCGGTGGCAGAGCAACGCGCCAATTCGGCTCTTGAGTCTTGCAAACGCATGGAGCAGGAAAGAGACAGAGCGCTCTCTGAGGCCGCCGTTTCGCGGGCGGAATTACGACGCTGGAGGCGATTTTACGGTATCGCCGAGGATAAAGTGCCACCCCTTTCGCAGCAACAGCTGCACAATCATCAGGTTATTTATCCCGCAGCCCTCACAGGGACAACTTCATCCGTGGACACACCGGAGCAAAATGCGCCACCCTCGTCGCCGGAAATGGGTTCCAACTCTTCACTTCCAGGTTACCCTGCAAAAGACGTTCTTTCACAACTGGCGTATTCCATGAAGGAGCTCACAGAAGAGCTGCGTGGGGCTTTTCAGCGGGGTGCCGTCCTGTCCCACCAGGGCACTGCGGGAACAAACAGTGCGACAGTAGAAACACATCCCGATGGGTTACCTAGAGCGGCGGGGAATTCGCGTGAACGGATGACGGCAAGGAAGCAATCACAACGAAGCACCGCTTCGCGTAGCTCGGGACTCGTGCGATCACCGAAGGAAGGTATGGAAGTTGCTTCACAAAGTAGGTGTATGTCCCCGCTATCTGCATCTTCATCGCTATTGCCGTCAAGTACACGCGACAGTCGATCGCCCCTGGGTAATAACACCTGCTCAAATAAAATGCAAAATAAGCGGCAACAACGAGATGTACGGCAGGGACCTCTCCTGGCTCCATGCGCATCTGTTGTTGTGACGCCGAAGAAGCCAACGTA